TTGTTTCAAAAGAACCAAAAACACACAATGTGTGAAAATATGCACATGCAAGCCGGTCAATACGAAAATTAAATCGGCGGAAAATTTTGGGAGGCTATATCAGATGAGTATCGCATAGTCGCCACTGGCACGTATTACGGTGACAGTGATTTGCAACTGGTGTAGAAAATCAAAGAGCGGAAGTGACAGCGGTTTCAAATTAGGTCAAACAAGTTGTATATTTTTTTTTCTCTAGGACCTCGAATGTACATTCGGCGTGACTAGGTGAGTTGTATTTTATATCATTAATATAGTTTATAATTCATGATTTTTACGACTGTTACACAATTGTCACCAATAGGTTAAGACATTTTTAATAATTACAATATAATAAAATGTTTGTAAACTAATTATGTTGTTATGATACTGGCTGGCGAAGTAAGTGTACACTTAACACACTCTAATTCACTACACATTCACTTACACCTTAAAAATTTATAAAGATTCTATAGGGCAAAATCATTTTCATGAACCCCCCAATTGCGGCGAGCTAGTTGGATAACGTTAAGAGCCCTTTGAGCTGCTTTGCATGCTACATATCCTAATATTCTTTTTAATAAAGTAGAGGCAAAATTGGAATCGGCAAGAATGACTGGTGATCGGTAAATTTCTTTATGGTCGCCAATTTCCGAGTCTCCTAATGTTTTATTGAGCTCGGCTCGTTCAGTCCAATCTATTTGTTTGGCAACAATGCTCGCGAGTTACTTATACAAACGTAACAACAACCATCGACAAAAACGGTGAGATCATCATCAGACTACAATAGAACTTTTAAAATTAATGTACTGTAATAATATTTTTAAACACTCACTACACAATTAGCATATAAGTTAGCTGGTAAATAACAGTAAGTAGTCTGTAAGAACTCGAAATTGAATTAACTTCCAAACATTTTTTTTTAACTAATAAATCATTTTTTAATTTTTTTTTTTAATAGAATTCAAGATCGACTATCTGATTCGCCCGTTGTGGTCGTATTTTTCACTTTGTGTATAGAAATTTTCTTTTCTTTTTTATTTTATTTTATTGCTTTATACGATTTTAAAACCTAATTAATTACAAAAGTGTTAAAATTTATTGAAATATATTGGACTTTTTGTGTTGATATCGTGCTGGCTTTTGCGATCAGCACTTGGTGCTTTTGTCAACAAGTGTCTTTCTTGTTTTTTGCGTGTTGTTGGTTCCGTACATTTATATTGCCTATATACAGATATCTCTATCTATAAGAAACACGCTACTTTCATTTATGACGTGACCGAAAAGTCTAAGCCTACTGTTGTAGTCCTAGCGTTGAACGACTCCAATTTGCCACAAGTCGCTTGGCGTTGTAGTGGTAATACTGTTTGTATGGTCTCCACTTCAACATCTTTTATAGCTATTGTGTTTTTCAATGAATCGTAATTTATTTCAATACAATCGTACTCTTAATTGTAATATGTAGGGTTTACTTGCAATATTTTCAAAACACTTTCTAGTGGCTCTTGCACGGATGTCGTATATATTGACTTTAATAAATCGTTTGACTTGGTTAACCATAACTTAATGATCTTCAAACTCCTCTAGCTTCTCTTTATACTTAGTGAAATAAATAGGGTCTTATATGCATAAGAGATCATTCAGGATTCTGCTGAATTTCATTACCTCGGATGAATTTCTCTTGGCGTCTAGTGTCTCTCAAGGCAGCCATTTGGAACCCGTTTTATCTAATCTGTACATTGACGATCTCCCCTCGGTGATTAAATCCGGCCAGATCTTTTTTACCGTATCAGCTTCAAACTGATTTCAATAATTTGGTGACATTGCTTTTTAAACCTCATGAAATTAAATCTAAAAAAATGCAAAAATGCTTGCTTTCTCAAGGACGAAGCCATTCAATACTGAGTGTTCACACAAAATGGAAAATGTAGATTCGTGCTTCGATTTAGGGGTTCGACGAAAGATGACGTTTTAATTGGCATATTGAGCTCTCTTTAAGTAAAGCTAGGTCCATGCTAGATTTCGTTAAGAGGTTTTCCAAAGAGCTTACGGTTCCTTACATTTCAAAAGGATTATATATTTGATTAGTTAAACCAACACTTAAGTACGCTCCTGTTGTGTGCTTTCCGCCCTATAGGTGTTATATAGATTCAATTGAATCCGAAGTAATAACATGATCACAATTTGTGTTTTCGCATCTAATCTTTCTGTTAGGCAGTTCGTCTGGAATTGTGATAATTTTGCAGATGTAAGGCCAATTTTTTTTAAATAACGGACTAGCAGACGTAAGGGCCGAGCCTTCTTTCATGTTACCCTAAGAATTAGTGCGGTGTTTACTGTTACCGTTTGTGTTTTGAGTCATGTTGTATTAGGGCAAGTAAGTGACTAACATTTTATATGGTTATAGTTTCAATAGCAATTAAAAATTAAATCGACAATTGAATATGTAAATTTACGAATTTAAATTTATAGCTAACTAAATTTTGTAAAGTCTAAGTGAATGATTATATAATACCTTATCCGCCTGAGTGGCCGAGTAGGCAAGAGTCTCGACTAGCAACTCAATGGTCGCGGGTTCAAATCTCAAGTGCGGTAGAGTTTTTAATAAAGCCGAAAGCCTTAGATGCTAGTGCTTTAAGACTTTAGTCTTAGAATTTATTCTCTGGCTAAATTTCTAATAATAATAATAATAATAATAATACCTTAAGAACGAATGATCGATCATACACAATTTTTTTTTTTTGTGTATACATTAAAAATGTTCTACGTTATGGACGATGGTCGATTATGAAGGTGATGTAATGTCAACATTTGGAGCGATACTTCGGTTATTATTACGTGTTATCAATTGCGTTTTGTGAGACGTAGTTGTGGGCGTTATATACATTTTTCTTTGCATACCATTTTTCACAAAATTTTAAACTTCAAAACTGTAAATGATTTTGTAATTCACAGGACTATTGCTTTCAGACGCGTTTGTAGATACCGCCAAACTATTTGACATCACTTTTCAATAGCGTTCATTCAATGATGTTTGTTATAGTTATTTATATTTCTAGGTAAACAGCTGTCGTTGCTTTACTTTCTTTATGAGTTGCTAGTAGCTTATAAGACATCTCTCTCTCATTAAATAAATAAACAGCAATAAAAGGAGCCCTCACGATCATTTTCTTATTTCAGAGGATCACCAATTGTAGTTTACTGAAATAGCATTTTTTAAACGAACTTATTTCGTTGCATTTTTAGACTAAATCTTTATTTATTTTTTTTAACAACGAAAATTCAAATATCTACCGATATTTAAAACATTTTTGGTTTGGTTCAAAATAAAATCGACTGCCGTCCAAAGAATCAAAAAACGCTTGTAAACTAGTGTTCAGAATGAAATTTTGGAGAGTTGGTACTGCCTAAAAAGCATATGGATTTGTCAATAATGCCGATGTATATATGTTATGTTGCGAACTTATTAAGTGAAGTGTTATGAATTAGAACTAACCCAAATAATCCAGCACGCTTATTTGATTTCGACCTGTTGTAGTGGAGCTTTTATATAACCATATCTATGTTTTTGAACGGAAAATTCCGTAAGACAATCAGAAAAATTTTTTTTATTTATTTATTTGTTTTTTTTTTTTTGGTAGTAGAATTTATTTTAATGGGATTCATGTGCGGAACATCGACTAAGGTACAGTGAACAGATTTTCAAAATATCTTAACCCATCTACGTGACAACTTTTCAACCTGTCAAGCTTAGTTTATAAATGATTCCCTTGTTGGATGATGTTCATGAATGACAATGGCGAAAGAAATGGTTAGCAATTTTATAGTTCTCATTGTATTTTCCTTTATGTTCGACATCGTTATTCCAGATATTTCTCAATATTATCGCTGAATTCATACATAGAATTATATTAGATACATAGAACTTCCTTGCTGAATATTGCTACCTACAGCAAAAGCCAAGAAACAGTCGAGCACATATGAGCATGGCTGATTTTTCAAGCGGTTAATCCAAAAAAGAATTCTTTTTTTTAAAAACGGTTAACTGGCAGTTATTAATGTTTTGTGAAAAACTGTAATTATAGTCTTATGCTTTCATGGTTGGTTTTTTCATTTATATTTCATAATTTGAAAAATTACAATTAAAATTCCTCAATAGCGATTTTATTATTAAATTTCACTGATCCTCTCTGCCGATCGTATTCATTATTTGCGTTTGAAATATTGGTACGAATAGTTTTTTGAAAAGTGCTATTGGTAGTTAATGGTTTTTGCATACCAATCTTTTTTCTGTTCTCTACAATCCCAATAGAACTTTGGTAATGGCTCGCATGCTGTTTTGGTTTTTCCCGTTCCCGTCTTCTGGTAGACGCAGATCTTAAATCAACATGCTTAGTTAGATTTAACGGAATATTCTCTGAGGGCAAATTCATTGTTGCATTGCTCGACTTTTCGGAATGTTTCCTGACAATATCAAGGAACATAGTCGAGTAGCTAGGTCTCTCAGTTGACGTGAAATGAAGTTTTTCCTTATGTCTTTCAAATATTCTCTGCGTGAAATCTCTATTTGTATTTTGGTATAAAGTGGTAACTGTTACATCAGATCCTGTACGTAGCATGAATTCAGGATGACTATGGTGATCATAAGTAACTGGCTGATTTACCGTTTCCTCCACAACATTTTCGGTAACTTCATAAGAATGAGCTATAATAGATTTATTTCCTTGCTTAATTTCATTAGGATTTTGGGTAGGGCTATAAAAAAATTTTTCTGGCTGTGGCGGTAGCTCTTCGACAACACTAGTATGTAACAAAGCCTTCTTACTAGGTTTAAAAGTAGAAGAGAAGTAGTGACTCGTTGCAGGTTCGATAATTGGTTCCCAGTTATCTGTATGTTCACGGATGGTATTATTCTCGCGACTAATTGTAATAGTGTGATCCTGTTTTTTACGCGGGACCTTATTGGCTGAGCTTCTATTTACAGCAAAGTTGTTATCTTCTAGTTTATTGATATGGCCTTCGGCTATTAATTCTTGCTCCCTTTCTATTTGGCGAAGCTTTTGTGGACTGATACTGGTAACTTTATAACTGCTCGCTGCCAACGGGTTCGAGCCAAATGCTGAAAATTTAATGAATTTCTTCGAAGGCCGCATGTTTATTACTTTGGTTTCCTTCGTAAGTGGATTTCTGAAGATATATTTTATCCTGGTAGTTTCGATCGGCAAATAATCAAGGGCGCTCTTTGTAGAATTTTCTTTCGACACATAACTTCCAACAACATTCTTCACAACGCGGGTTCTGGATATCATATGACTAAGAAAACCATCAACCGCACCGTCCATTTGTTTCCACATAAAACGACGCTGTATCCTACAGAAGGAAAATCGCACACATGAAACAGCTATAAATTGCATATTTCGAAAATATTATCCACCTCATATCTTGATTTGTAGACCTACATTCACAGCTATAATTATGTTGATAGATAATGCAGAGCGCCAGGAGATACATATATATTAAAACAGTTTTCTGGAAATAAATAAGGCGCTTCTTCGAAATTTTCTGAAATTGTTGATTCTTAAATGATTTAAATTAAACCTTTTTTTAACTTACGAAGAAACCTTTCCAATATATCAAGGACATGTCCGCATACGTTGTGTGTGCGTTACTTGCAATGGTGTCTGCAGCATAGAGCCCATTACTGAAACGTCTGCAAGCTTTATATCTTCGTAAAAAGAGGAACTTGCTAATTAAATATTTAACAAAATCTCGGGCGGTCATGCGTAAATCAACTTTTACTGCATCTTATTCATTTATTTGCAGTCTTTGCTAAAAAACACCATTGACTCTAAGAGATGTTTAACACGCAACGATCAGGGGGAAGTACGAGTGGTATCAATTTATTCGGCTTACAAGTGTTAACTACCGTTAATTAGTTTGCTCTCATAAACAGATCTTAACTGCAATATATTTCTGTTATTCCTCAACATATCATCTACTGTTATTTTTATAATGAATTTTAAGGGCAATTGATTACAATTTTGCTACGTACAACTTTTTCTGTTAAAACATTAATTTACTAAGCGAGACCTGCAATCTCTATAAGTAAAATTAATAAATTTTTTGTGTTAGACCCCTTTATGGTTTCTGTACTCTTGAATCAAGGAACAGTTCAACATTTTCTACAAATTAAAACCCCAAAAATCACCCATATGAGATGTAGGCCTCTATCTTAAGTAGCTAGGGTTTTCTATTGGGCTCGCTCTACTTTTACTATGAGAATTTCACTTTTTGTAAATGTCGCTTATGGCATTTTAAGTGGTCTGTAATTTGACATACACGGTAGAATTTAAATAATTGAAAAACTGTTTTCTCAGTAAATACATAAGCAAATTCAACAAATTCCAATTCGCAAATGTACTTTGTTCGATTATCTTTGGTATTTTTCTTATAAAACTGTTAAGATATCAGAGCTTTTGGCGATTTCTAAGCGAGAACGTGATTTTCACAGAGCTTTTTTAAAACTTTAAGCCAATCCTGTAGAATGTGAAACAAATGTTAATCGAACAGGCCATCGTCTATATAACGGATACTTTCCCAACCAAACATGTGGCCCTCAGACTGATAAAATTATCCCCAAATCTAATGAAATTGTGATGAAAAATATCTTCTTTCGTCAAAAATAAAGCGGATAAAAGTTTGATGCGCCAAAAACAAACCTGTGTAGCAAATTTAGGCAGGTACCACTACTGCTCTATAAAGGTTTTGAACAATTATACACAACATATACTTTAACCAAAATATCTCACCCTTGTTTCACTCCCCGACATATCTAAAGAATTGATGGTAATGAAATTTCTTGGAAAAGTGAAGTCAAGTATTTTCCAACGCAAGTTAAAGCAAAAAGAAGAAAACTAGGTTTCACTCCTTGTTTTATGCTCCTCCAATATGATCTCTACTGGTTAATGGCATATTAAAAAAGGTGATCTAAAATCTATCTGTCATTTCTTTACACTTAATCCATACTGAATTTCTAGTTGCGAACTTGTTTATAACACAATTCTAAAGTTGTGTTAAAACAAAATCTCAAAACTCACATTGCTCGCAAATTTTTTTTCATTAACAAGAGTTTTTTTATACTTTGCCTTTAATCTTACTGTTACTTTAAATATAACATTAATAATAATTAATTAATTTCCAAGATGTGAAGGAGAATCTTTTCTCGTAGTCTTTAATTTTTTATAGCATATCGTACAGAATTTCTAAAATTAAAAATAAACTAAACCAAATTAATAAACTATAACATGCACTTTTATTGATAGAAACCCTCTATTAAGCAACATTCCAATTTTTTTGTGGCCAATCGGTGCAAAAATCCTTAACAAATAACAACAATCGCATATAGATTTTCAGCAACATTGAAAACAATAGACTAGTTTTATTTATTAGGATCATTCCATCACTACTCTAGTCAATTTTCTCTACAAGCCAGTATTTTCTATTTCCATTGCTTTTGCATATTCTTTTTCATACATTTCTACAGCCTACTAGTCTACACGAAGAAGTGATGTGATCTTCACAAAAATTTAATTCGGCTTAACTCCGTTTGCCAAGGCAGATTTCGTTCATGTTGTACATTAAGAAATAAATAGTTGTGTTTTTTACGGCGTACACAAATAGGCTATGTTTTATTTAAAAATTGTAACTTCTATGAAAAGGAATAAGACCGAATCGGAGATCTTGAAAGGGAAACCAGTTTTTTTATTGGCGTAAGAGAACCTTATAAACCAGTTGAAAAAAGTTAACATAGTCATCTTGAAACTTCGTGTTTTTCTTCAGAGGCTCAAAGGACCAGGCCAGTATCAAAAGGATCTCCGCTGGGACTCTACAGCTTAAGACTTTTTACCTCTTAGTTCCTAACACACCAACACAAAGAAGAAAAACTTTTGGAAGAAAGGACATGAAAATGAAGGTTGGAGTATGAAACGGAAGTTTTATGATCGTAAGATTGCATACTAATTATAAAAATTAATGAGAAATTTACCATAGTAATAAAACGTTTCTATAAAACATTTTAAAAGTTTAAAACCGCTCTTCTGTAAACACAATTTTGCAAATTGAATCTATTTGATTAATTGAAAACTTAGTCCACAATATATATGTTAAATTTTAAAACTCTGAATAAGGAAAGAATCCAAAAGCAATTTTTGGTGTCTTTACTAAAAATAAGTCAAAACATATCGCATTCAATTCTGAGGAGTTGTGTAATATTCAATTCAACTTTTCCGAAAAAATTGAATCAGTTCCTTATTTTACAGTATGCTTTGAAAGTTATATATACACATATGTATATACATATGACTTCATTCGAGAATATTTTTTACTTACCGTTTGCCTTTAAAAGCAAGTAGATATTTTTTGTTCAACGGGAAATTCATCGAAACCGCTAGACCGGTAGACCCAGCACGCAGTGGGAATTGCTTGTGAAATAATGGAATGCTGATATCGAATCCTGGGCGTAATTGTTGCACACTCATACTGGCTTTTGCAAGTATAGCTTCACCGGTATCAAAACCAAGCGAATTTTCTACATAATCAGGCCATGTGCCCGAATAGAGATTAAAAATAACATGATTTTTGCCATTATTCCAATAAGATAAACGGGCCAGACGAGAAGGTACGTTTCTCACATAATCCTCAGAAAGAGAGTCACGATCTAACGTATCAATACCTAAAACAAAGATGCACGCCCGTCTGGGGTCTGTGGTATAATAACGAGACTCTTGAATTGCTGTTATTATCTTTTGATAATTCGATGAAATCGGAGGTGATGCGCCCAAGGAGTTCAGAGGTTCAGGTGGGTAAACATAGACCAAAAATTCGTCGTAACATTTGCTAAAATCAAAACAATTATCCATTCGACATGGAAGCTGTGCAAAATCAGCCAGGTGTCCTTGAACTCGCAGTTTGGAATTCGAAACCGATAGAAAAGCGTTACGTGTTTTTAAAGCAGCTTCAACCACATCCTCATTTAAAGGGCCCATTCCGTCTTTTGCAGAGGCCGGCAACATGTAATTGATTAAATGTCCAGGAAAGTCGTTGTCATTCTGAACAGATGATGAGAGCATTGGATCAAGTCGAGAAACACGGTTATGATATGGCACCGTTTTCAGCCGGTAGCCACCAAAGTAACAATAAGCTAAAAATGCGCAGGAAACAAAGACCAGAATGTATCGCTTTTTTGCTTGCATATTTCTGCTAATTTCGTGGGAATAGGATGTGCGCGATAGAGGTGGGAAAAGTGCACGTAGAGGCCAGGGAAAGTTAGTTATTTATCATTGTAACCAAAGCAGTCACTTGTCATGCTCTTCTGATTATATTTCACTTTAGATTGCTCCGCCAAAAAGCTTCCTAATATACTTTCATCACAGAGGAGGTTTGAGCACAGAAAATGTTTCCCTTGTCTACCGCAACTATTCCGACTGTGCATTTTGGTATTGTATATAAAATTTTCTTTTTTAAGCCATTTCCACACATTTGAGTCGGCAAATATGTTAAGATGCTTACATTCAGCGTATGCAAAAGTTCTAACAATCACAGTAATCAAATGTCTCCTTCCAGTTATTTCAATACGTTTAATGATTCTTTAGAAATTGTACAAAAAAGAAAAGTTTTTACGTTTTTTATAAAAGATTTACAATCAAGCCACAATATACAATATAAACGCAAGATAAAACACAATCTCAACTGTAATTGCCAGTTCGAGTTGCCAAAAAAATATTTCTTAAGTCTTATATATGGCAACAAGGAATTAACTTTGTTTTTCAATGCCGTTTATTCTATTAAGAGGCGTTGTAATTATTGATGCTAATCCTATCCAATTTGAATTTTCTTCAAAAATTTGTGCAAGACAAAAACTAAATGCGGCTCCATTGGTTTAAAACTGTTATATCAACTATAATAATTATGAAATCATATTATGGTTTTTAATTTCATTTTGAAGGTAGTAAAAGAATTGTCAAAATTGTCGTACAATATATTTACACTGCCTAAAACTAAAAGTTATTAACAATTAAAGATTCTCTTTGAAAAGTGGATGGCATTTTGTGTTTGTCCCTTACACCAAATCGTCATTCAATTTCAAATCAAATAATGAATAAAATTATTTCAAACCAAAATTAAGCAACAAAGAGAAAATTAGGGCCTTAACAAAATTTTAATATACGAATCATATCAATCAAAATGTAAAATTAATTAAAGAAATTTAAAAAGAATTTCAATAAACGAAAAATCATAATCGAAACAATTATTAATCATTTTTGCGTTATTAGTTTAGTTTTTTTATTTATGAGATACAATTTTCTATACCCAATTGTAGTACAAACAGCATTTCAGTCTGGCAACTCGAATGTGCGATTATATTTACATACGTTTTCTTGAATAAGCAAGAATCATATGCATAAAATTAATATTTACGGCGCAATCTTTTCTGTTTTTAAATCATTTCATGAAGACATATAAGCAATACAGTCAATTTATGAACTTACTTTCTTATGCGCTTTTTTGCTCTAACACGCGACAATTCCTTCATACGTCTTTTGTACCATATTACGTCGTAATATAGAAATTTGCTTCTTGATTTTATGTTCTATCCTTACAGACGAGTAATTTGCTTACTTTAACAAAAAATAAAAATAACGACACGCAAAATTAAAAAAAAAATGTTTAATTATATAATCAATAAAATATATATATAATAACATCATATACATCTAAATCTCTTATTAAGGCCCAAAAAAAAAAACTGTGTTTATATTAGGCTTCTTTTACGCATCCCAGTTAATTTGCTGAATAGCAGAAGAAGAAGAACAAGAAGGAGTGTATAGTTGAGTTAGCTCGGCTTGGGCTTTCTTAAAATTGTTCTTAAATTATTTAGTTTCATAGTAATATTAATAAAAATTTTAAAAATTATCTTGTGCATAATTGTTGTTGTGTCAGAAGCCAACTCTCTTAACAATCATAGAGTGTTTATATTGATAATTTGGAGAGTTCTACTGAAAATATCATTTTTCTCAGGCGAAAGACATAGCTTCGCTTAAAGTATTATTAACTTTCGCCTTGTATTCCAAAGAATTAGCCATGAAATTCTGGCCTGAAGGCGTGAATCAAAGGGATTGTCTGTCGAAAAAGCAGGATGGGTCCAATCTCAATTTAAAATGACTACTAACTCGAAAAAGTAAATGCCGCATTAATTCTAAATCATGTGACATATTTACCGATTCTTTAGGTTTCAATTATGATATTGTAGTATTCATGGAAACGTGGCTGAAGACGGGTATGATTAGAAGTCTTTTGTACTGATTTCCAAGTATTTAGCACAGCCAAGTTTAACAAAACTCGTAGGGTAAAACATGTGATAGCAGTTAGTAATTTTTCGACGTTATCAAACATTATACCTTCATTGACTTCGGATTTTGAGTTTACTTGCTTACAAATTAAGCTAAATAGATGGTGTCTGGTGGTAGTGGTGATTTAAAATATTATGGGGTCGCAACGAGGATCTTGCGTCTCGTACACCTCACTACTCCCCTAACACATTCACAGATTTTTTGACGGAATCTTCGAAATTAGCGTTTCACAAGCCAGTTTCATTCCAAATAAGAAATATAGAATTTTGGAACTTTTCTTCCCTTCTAATGTAAACGCAAGAGCTTCCAGTGATGATTCCTTTGGTTTGTCAGAAGATAACTATCACTCAATTTTGATACTTACGTTTAATAGCCTACTTGATGATAATATCTACAAACAAAATTTCCTCCACAAACGATTTTTATTTACGAGAAGCAGATATGATTTACTTCGGAAGAACAGACTGGAATTTTGACGTTTATGATATTGATGGATCTTCATCTGAACTGTGCAATAGAAACTTCTCTGTTATTTTTTTGGCAGCTCCATTACAATCTACCTTTTATTTCGACGGACTGTCCGGTTTGGTTTCACAAACAATTGCACAGACTTTAAGGTCCATTATTTCGCTATATTAAAAGGGTTTTCTAAAGAGATAATCAACGTCTACTAATCTTCTGATTTTTAAATTAAAGCGCTTAGGCTTTCTGAAAATATTGCGACTTGCTTTAACATTCGCTTAACTAGTCGTTTCCAGGCGTTGCTGTTTAAGTCTACAGTGAGAGTCACCTAGACTCACTTTTGTCTGCACTATTTGGCAATTACCTTCCTATGTATCTGCAATAATCTTGAGTCTTGTTTGCTGAAGATGTAAAAATCGACCTTCCTATTTCGAAAATTTGCACTTTTGGAGCTTAGCCAATGGCATGCCACTGAATTTACAAAAATGTAAGAAATTGTTCCTTTCCTGCTTCCACACTACCATATTGATGAATTGTAACATGTGATTGTATCATGTAATATTTGATACAAGTGCAAGGCTGCGCTAGCGGTATTATTAATCTCACTCGCTAAGAAATGACTGAGATTTTTTTCTGCGCGGGAAAAAGGAGGGAAAACTGCGATAAACCTCACGCGATTAAGATTGGTCATGTAAGAGTAAGAATTTTATTTCTTAGAGAAAAAAATAACAAAAAGATTGAAGAACATTTGGTTCGTGGAGACATGGACGAAGGATTAGCGTTGTATGTATAATAACAGTGGAAAGAAAATTGACGCAAATGAAATTTAATATTAAGTAATCATTATGAAAATGACTAATAACATGTATGAAAGTAGAATTATGTTTATAGTGATAGTAATTTATTATCTAAAACTCGCGTAATTGTGACAATAATAGAAAGAAAAAGGAAATAAAAGATATACACAAAGTAAGAAACGAACGCGGAAATATATAAGTTAGAAAGAGATCGAGGATGGGCGAGAGTAAAATTCTTTTATCTGCTAACGGAAAAGCTAATGTAAACGTTTTAATTGCGCCTAGTGAACAGGCAATCGACAAGCCCTCTGATCTGGGTGCCACAGCCGCCCCAAATCTCGAGATTAATTTGTGCGATTGCCTTTCCAGCTGCAGTTTTGTCGTTTTTGTCGAAACGTGCGCGGACGCAGAAGGAAATCGCATCAATATTAACTCCAATCTCTATTTCTATGATTACTTGAAGGATTTCGGTATGTACGGCTTAAAAGAATTAAAAGTTGTCAGCAAGGGTAGAGCCAAACTGCTTTTCAGCTCCGCTGCCAATGCCAACAATTTTGTTATGAATAATGAATTTAATGAAAAGAATTTAAAAGCGTTCATACCGAGGTCGTTCACTGAGAGATTTGGAATTATTCGAAACATCCCATGCACATACAGTGTCGATGATATAATTAAAAACGCCGTATCCAATATTCCGATTAAGTCCGCTGTCCGTTTTCAAAGAAAAAATCCCAACAACAAAGATGCGTGGATTCCCACCACCAGCATCAAAATTGGCTTCAAAGGTAGAGCCCTCCCTAAGTCAATAAAATGTAATTATTGTTATCTGCCGGTTGAGTACTTTGTACGCACTTTAAAGCAGTGCTTTAAGTGCGGTAGATATGATCATGTGTCACAATTCTGCAAAGCTACAGAGAGAAGGTGCCTTAACTATGGGAAGTCTCCGAAGTGTGCGAACTGTGAGACGATGAAGTGCTTGTCCTGTGGTTCAGGTGAGCACAAGACTCTCAATAAGTGTTGCCCCAACAGGGAACTTGAATCAAATATCAACAGGATCATGGGAATTAACAATCTCTTATATAAAGAGGTAAAATAGAATTTTTCCGCAAATTATTTCGAATGTCTCGATGACATCACCTATGACGGCAATTTCCCTCCACTGGGGAACACGTCTGCAATTTCGACCAAGGATGATAATCAAAACGCCAACAAAATTTTAACCAAAAATAAATATAATGCTGTCGTCAAAAGGAAATCGGTTCCTTCCAAAACTCCTCACAGTTTACCCACCAAGCCTTCTCTCAATCCACCCTCCAAGTCGTCTGGAACAAGTCTTCGGCGTCCGATAATTGCAAGCAACGAATTTGCGGTCCTCAGAACTTAAAAGATTAATTCTCGCGATTTAAGAAAGTATCCGTCCGATGGTCCCTCAAAATCTTATTAAAGAATTTGAAGAAAAAATGCCTGTCTGTGCTACTTCTTGCCCCGTTCAAGTACCCAGTACTACGAGGAAATCCGCTGGGGTTCTTTCTCAAGTTTCAACATGATATACTTTTTACAATATAATATTTAAAGTGTCCGACGTAACCTATCGTTTTTGGATTTTTACTTAAACTCAAACAAGCTTGATTTCTGCATCTTAAGTGAAGTTTTCCTGAAAGATGAAAATTGTTTTGAAGTTAAAGTTTCGAATTATGCCTCAGCCACCAAATGCTGAAATGATGGCTATGGCGTTGTAAGCATATTAGTTAAGAAAGGTATTTCAGACGTATTCCCTATAATTCTGCTGTTGACATTATTATCATCAAAACCATGAACCTGAAACCAAATCTTTTCATAGCATCATGCTACTTTTCATCCGGTCCCGATGTACAAACCTTTCGTGAAGAGATTCAGAGATTATGTGACTTTCTTGACGGTGAACAAAATGTGATTCTAGCTGGAGATTTCAATGCAAAACATTGCTTGTATGGCGATCAAGTCTAGACCAATAAGGCAAGATCCTTGTAAATGCCATCAATTCCAGTAGTTTCAGTGTCTTAAATAATGGCAATACT